TTTGCGGGTACTCATTAAAAATATAGCACTTGTTAGTAAATCCAAGACGGCAGGCACGATTTTTCAAAAAAATGCAATATGGGTATCGTTTTTGGGGTATTTGGGGATGCCCATTACGAATATAGCACTTATTTGTAAATGCAAGATGGCTGGCACGATTTTTCGAATAGTGGAGAGTTGGGTATCGTTTTAGAGGTATTTGGGGGTGTCCATTACGAATATAGCACTTATTTGTAAATCCAAGATGGCGGACACGATTTTCTTATTTAATGCAATATGAGTATCGTTTTCGAGGTATTATAAAATAAAAATAATAAAAATCCTTTATTTTCAGACCAATCAATCCATAGAATGTTAGCAACAAGAATACTTAAAAACTATGTTAGTGAAATAATTTGACATTCTACACCACTAAGGGACTATTTTTTTTACATGTAACAATGTAAACCGGCTGAGGATAGCAGAGTCCATCCTGTCTGCTATCATCCTCAGAATTCCATTGTCACTTCCCCGTATCCGTTGCACAATAGACGCGGTCTTCTTTCGTATAATCGCATAGAAGTCGTTCATGTGTGCATCGGCAAACATGCCCGAAGCACTACAGAATCGGGGAAGCCTCAATAGAACTCTGAAAACGTTGTTGTACTGGACTCGCAGAGAGTCGTAGGCCCGCTTTGTGAACCTGGCCCATAGACCACACGTGTAAAAACTCTGACAATACGCTTTGAAAAGAGTCAGTTTAACACTGACAGTACAACGAGTGAATCTATGTGCCAGCATGTTCCCACGAACCGACAACGCCCTGCTCTCTCTCTCGATATCCTCATCATCCATCAATTCTTCAGTCAAAATGTGTCCCAGATACTTAAACCGTGGAACACGTCTAATAGTAATTCCGTTTAGCAACAGCGGTGGTACATGAACAGGACCTTTGTTCTTTCCTTTAAAAATCATAAACTCGCGTTTTGTAACGTTGTGCTTCAAACCGTGCTCCACAGCATAAGCTTCACATACACGTAAAAGCTTCCTAAGACCTCCAATTGAAGGGCTGAGCAGCACCATGTCGTCAGCATTGCTTATGTTATTGACAGTGACGCCATCTATTCGGCATCCGACCTGCATGCTGCTCAGCTCCTCAATTAGACTGTTCACATATACATTAAATAGCCTCGGCGAGGTCAATCCTCCTTGTCTTACACCACATTTTAATGTGTATTCATCAGAATGAAAATTTGCCCATTTTATAGTGTTTTTCTGATTACTGTACCAAAACTGAAAAAGTTTTATGACTTCCGGAGAAACCCCTACTGAGCTTAACTTTGACCAAAGTTTATCATATGAGACTAGGTCAAAAGCTTTTGATAGATCTAAGAAACATGCATATATGGGGGTTTTCCTCTTTACATAATAATCAACGGTGTGTTTGACGGTCAAAATAGCACATTCGGTTGATAAGCCTTCACGAAAACCAAACTGAGCATCATGTACTTGTAGACTCTTACTAAGATGCATATCAAGAATTCGGTCCAAGACTTTTGCTGTTATTGTAGCTAGTGAGATCGGCCTGTAGTTGGATTTGTCAGATATATCTCCCGTGGCATTTTTTACTAATGTGGTGCAGGTGTTGAACCTGCTCCCAACAGTCGTAGTTGTGTAACTGCAACGGGAGTCGAACCCGGGTCGTTGCAGTGTAACGCAGGCACAGGCAGCACAAGTAGCGATGTTCTGAATAGCTATTATATTGCAGTAGGTATTGTGAAATAAGACGCGACACGATAGCACACTGAATAGAACGTATATTGAAACGGAAAGAAAGGAAAGCAAGAGTTACAGTTCACATACACACTAGAAGATAAGGAAACAGTACAAAAGGGGTTACAGATGTATAGGACGCGATAGATAACAAAATAAGAAGAAAGTAACTAAAGTTCAGCAAGCACAAAATGATTCACAATTACGCGAGACGTGTGGAAGCGCGGGAAGCGATGCAAGCAAGGTACGCGTGTGCTCAGAAGCGAGTTCCGTGGCCGACTGACGCGACCGGTCTCGCGGAGCACAGCGGCGCGGCGGCGGGCTTGTGCGCCCGCGCATCACGCCACCAGTTGCTAAGCGGAGCCGCCGCTGTTTTACCCGACTGCGTCAGAAGAAGGGTAATGTCTTGCTGTGTTAGCGGAGCGGGTCCGCTACAAGTACTCCCTCGCCGAGACCGTTTGTCAGGACGGTCGATAGTAGTCCGGGAATCTCACTACCCGGCCGCTCCTCGTAGTCTTCACTGGCGTTGACGTCTCTGGTGTTGCCCTCTCTGGTGCTGCCCTCTCTGGTGCTGCCCTCTCTGGTGCTGTCATCTCTGGTGCTGGCGTTTTGACTTCGTCCCTCGTGATATACGCTGGTTTGACTCTGTCGATAGTGACTGTCAATTTCTTCCCTTGGACCTCTATGTCGTAGGTTTTGGTACCTTTGCGTAGTACCTTATACGGGCCGCTATATGGGGCCTGCAAGGGTCTGTGAGCTGGCCCTTGGCGAAGGAAGATGTGAGTTGCAGTACTGAGGTCTTTTGGCACATAGAAGGTTCGATTTGTGTGCCAGGAAGCTGGACGTGGAGTGAGCTTCCTCATGTGACTGCGGAGGCGACTCACGAAGCCGCCGTCATCAGGGAGAGTGTTTGGGGACGAAGTAAGGAACTGTCCAGGCAAGCGTAGCGGCTCGCCGTAGACCAGTTCCGCTGCCGAAGCCTGAAGGTCTTCTTTCCACGCACTGCGGATGCCGAGAAGCACCAATGGTAGCGCCTCTGTCCATTGAGTCGTCGCGTGGCAGACGATGGCCGCTTTCAGCTGCCGGTGGAGCCTCTCAACGAGGCCATTGGCCGCGGGATGGTAGGCCGTGGTCGTGTGGTGGACAGCGCCCAAGAGCGCTGCGATGGCCCTGAATAGCTGGGACTCGAACTGCCGACCACGGTCGGTCGTGATGCGCTCGGGGCAGCCGAAGCGCGCGATCCACCCTGAGATAAAGGCAGACGCGCAGGCTTCGGCTGTGATGTCCTGCAGTGGGAACGCCTCAGGCCAACGGGTGAAGCGGTCGACCAGTGTAAGGCAGTACCTGTAACTATTTGAAAGTGGTAAAGGACCTACGATATCCATGTGTACATGTTGAAAGCGGGCTGAAGGTGGCTTAAATCTTTGCAATGGTGCTGAAGTGTGTCTTATTACTTTTGCCCGCTGGCATTTCTCACATTCTTTAGCCCATTGTCAACAGTCTTTTCTCACACCAGGCCACACGAATCGTTCTGTGACTAACCGAACTGTAGCCTTAACACCTGGGTGGCTGAGGTTGTGCAGCATGTTGAACGCCTGACGTCGGTGCTCAAGCGTGACGAACGGACGTGAGATTGATGTGGACACGTCGCAGAAGACTATGTGATTAGAATCTGGTAATCTGAGCTTTTCTAATTTGAGTGTGGAGCCGCTTTGTAGTAACTCCTGAAGTTCAGTGTCTGTCTCCTGGGCGCGAGCTAATAACTGGTAGTCTAAGGGCGAAATGGTAAGTTCCTCTATGCGTGAAAGAGCGTCAGCCACTGTGTTGTCTTTCCCTGGTATGTAGTGAATGTTGGTGGAGAACTGAGATATAAAATCTAAGTACCTGAACTGGCGTGGTGAACAATTATCTCGTCGTGTGCTGAAGGCAAAGGTAAGCGGTTTATGGTCGGTGAATATTGTGAACGTTCTCGCTTCTACCATATACCTAAAGTATTTTATAGCTTCGTATACTGCCAGGAGTTCGCGGTCGTAGGGGCTATACTTTTTCTGTGACTGGCTGAGCTTTCTTGAAAAGAACGATAGTGGTTCCCAGCCATTAGTCGTACGCTGTTGAAGTACGGCTCCTATGGCCGCATCTGACGCGTCAGTTTGTATGGTTAGCTCTGCGTTGGTGTCTGGGTGAGCTAAAAGAGTAGCAGTGGAAAGACAAGACTTACAATCTTTGATGGCCTCATGTAGTGCTGGAGTCATGTCTACGGGTTTGTTGCCTTTCGCGTTCGGTCCAGCTAACAGGGCATTAAGCGGTGCTTGTATCGTAGCTGCTCCTGGGAGAAATCTACGGTAGAAGTTCATCATACCTAAAAATCGCCGTAATTCTTTTATTGTGCGTGGCACAGGAAATTCTTGAATCGCCTGTACCTTTGTGTCCAATGGGCGTATACCAGATGAAGAGACGGTGTATCCCAGGAATATGACCTCGGGCTTGCCAAAGCTGCACTTCCCTGTATTTATGAGGACTCCATACTCCTTCAGTTGCTGGAATAATCGTCTGAGGTGCTTTTGATGTTGTTCTATGGATGTTGAGTGAATAAGAATGTCATCTAGATAGCAATATGCGAATTCCAGCCCGCGCAGAACCTCATCCATGAAGCGCTGGAAAGTCTGTGCAGCATCGCGCAGCCCGAAGGTCATGCAAGGGAATTCAAACATGCCAAACGGGGTCGTTATGGCAGTTTTTTCAATATCCTCCTTTGCAACGGGTACTTGGTTGTACGCCTTCACCAAGTCGATGGTACTAAAAATTGTCTTACCTGCCAGCTGGTAAGCGAAGTCCTGGATATGTCGGACAGGATATCTGTCTGGGACGGTGCGTGCATTCAGAGCTCTGTAGTCTCCACACGGTCGCCAGCCGTCGTTTTTCTTCCGCGCTAAGTGTAGAGGAGAGGACCAGGAACTTTGAGACCTTCTGGTGGTGCCGTTGAGCAGCATATCATCAAATTCTTTTTTTGCAACTCTTAGCCTCTCTGGATCAAGACGGCGTGGACGGCTGGAGACCGGTGGTCCCGAAGTAGTTCTCACATGATGGACTGTGTTATGCTTTGGAGTTTCAGGCTTACCAGCTGGACGGGTAATTTCCGGAAACTCACTGAGGATGTGATGGTAAGGCGTAATATCGAGTAAGGTACGTGCTGATGAAATGTTCTCTGCTGTGGGCTGGGCTGGCACGTGTGTCGTGAGCGACGTGACGTTGTCGATGAGGCGTTTGTTGCGGCAATCGATAATTAGGTTATAATAACCTAGAAAATCGACGCCGATGATGAGTTTTGACACGTCTGCGATCACGAAGCGCCATCTGAAGTCACGTCGTAGACCAAAATCTAATTGAAGGTTTAAATAACCATAGGTGGATATCACTGACCCATTCGCTGCAAAGAGCTCATACTTAGATCTGGTGTGAGGAGCTACCACCCGTACAGCTGACCTTGGATAGACGCACAAGTCTGAACCCGTGTCGATAAGGTACCGTACCTTGCTCTTGCAGTCGGTAATGAACAGGCGGCCTGTCGATGATGAGGGACAGTCGTGTACGGCCACTAACGGCTGCCCTTGTAGTTTTCCGCCTTAAAACTGCATGGTGGTTTACAATTCTTAGCATTACTGCCAAACTGGAAGTGGTACCAGCAGTGGGGGTGGCCCTCCGGTCGAGTCCGTTGCTTTGAATTAGCCCTGGTGCCAGAGTTAGAACGGAAGCGTTGGCTATTATGTTCTCTATAAGTAGTACGTGGTCTTCTATTTACCTTCATAAGCGTTTCCACTTGCCTCACTAGCTCGGCTACCTTACTACTACAGCCGCAAGTCGCAGCTGCTGGCGAAGCGCTCGAGGTGCAGGCGACTTGTGGCACTGATGGCACTATATCTGCTACCCGGTCGGCAAGGTCCGCTACGTCGTCCAAGCTGGTCTTAGGCTGAGAAGCAATAATAGTTTGTATGTTAATAGGCATTCGGCTAGCCCACACGGTACGTATAAACTCAACTGGCATGTTCGATCCGGCCAAACCACGTAAATGGCGCAGAAACTGGGACGGTCTCCGGTCCCCCAACTCTTCATGCTGCAGAAGCTGAAGTATTTTCTTCTCCCGTGAATCGGACAAGCGACGGATTAGGGTCTCTTTGAAAGATAGGTACTTGTTATTTGTGGGTGGATTTAAAAAAAATCTTTCATCACCGTAGCATATTCTGGTGCTAGCTGGCTGGTCACCATATGGAATTTGGTACTATCATTATTAATACCTGATATAATAAATTGGCTTTCTACTTGCGTAAACCATATTTCTGGTTCTTCGGCCCAAAACGGGGGTATCCGCACGC